ATCTATCTATCTATCTATCTATCTATCTATACACACACACACACACAAACCTCTGTTTAAATCCTATTGCAAAGCAGAGACCTGGCAAGGATGGGAGTGGTACAAAAATCCAGCCAAATTTACATTCACCTTGTTTTGAACCATTTTTGGGGGATTGAAGTCCTCTTCCTGTAAGTAACAGTGAGCTATACAAAGTGTCCATACAAAGTGTCTATTCTCTCATTTATAATATTTCACTCATGTATGGTCAACGCACTTTCAAACAGCTCTTATTAATTTGATTTATACCTCTCCACCCCCCAATTCCACTTCCCCTCTAGCAAGTTTTCAAAACAGCTGATTACATTTAAAGGAAACCAAAACAACATATAAAAGTTGATACAAATTAAAACGAGTGCCAAGACCAGGGGTAGGCAACCTTGGCTCTTTTATGACTCGTGGACTTCAACTCCCAGAATTCTGGGAGTTGAAGTCCACGAGTCATAAAAGAGCCAAGGTTGCCTACCCCTGGCCAAGACCATTAAGCAGTTGTTAAAAGCCCGACAAAATAGTTGCACCTTTAACGCTTTTCTGAAGAGTGTGTACTTTTCTTTTAAAAAGCCAGAGATTCACAGAAAATACATTCTGCATTAAACATAATTTCCTCGAACATCAAACAATATATATATATACTGTATATATATTTGTCTAACAGCATCTGCAAAGGCTGTGATACAACGAAGCTGTAAAGAAGACAAAAATTGTTCAGTTTCAGTCTAGTATTTTGCGTGTAAAGGGTGTCCGACGTTAAACAGAGAAAGTTTGATCTTAGGATTAAAGAAGGTTCAAGGTTCTATGCAGCTAAAAAGGGCTATAACCTATAACCTCCGAGAGCTATGGCGATGGGAATAAAATGAGGTGAGACTTGCACGCATGCCTTTTTTGCTAGGAAACTGTCAGCCAGGCTGGAAGGTGGGGTCAAGCAGGGAATTAGCCTTGAGTCCTTGCATGGTTGAAAGAGAATAAGCCTGACCGCTTTTCCTCCCAAGGTCCATGAAACCTTATCTGGCTATTCCCAGGGAAAAAGTAAAAAAGTCTGGTGAGACTCTTGTAATATAGGTAGAAGTCAATAAATTGATGACTTAGGCCAGTGGTGGCGAACCTATGGCACGGGTGCCAGAGGCGGCACTCAGAGCCCTCTCTGTGGGCACGCGCGCCGTCGCCCCAGTCCTAGGCCTTCAGCTGGGTTTTATAAAACCTTTTCGCTTTAGGCCTCTGCCGCTGTGTACAAAAAAAAAAAAAAAGGTTCCATCAATCAATTTCAACTTCTCGCGGGAAAAAAAAAGATCTTGCAAAGTTGGAATTGATTGATTGAACTTTTTAGTCCCACCGAGTCTGCCGTTACCACCGCAGCCATGGCCACCCAATGGGCCACACCCACCCAATTGGCCACACCCAGCCAATGGGCCACACCCACCCGGCACCCAACGATGCATAAGTGGGTTTTGGGTTGCAGTTTGGGCACTCGGTCTCTAAAAGGTTCGCCATCACTGACGTAGGCTATTCACGAGTGACTCTGGTTGTTTGCACCTGACACTTCTCCAGTGTCTCAGAAGATGAGCTACGAAAGCAATACACTGAAATATAAAATAAAAGCTGTAATTTAAACTAAAGTAAAGCGCTGAGCCTCAAGGCTACCCAGAAGCACAAAACGAACTTTTGTATTTTGCCAGAAATCTGAAAAAAAAAATAATTTTTTTTTTGCAAAAGCCCCCGAACGTGCTTTTGGGGAATTCCTTACTTCTGGAAACTTGTCCCGGACCTCCTTGATTTTCTCGCCTTTTTGCCCAATGATGGTCCGATGAAAGCGCTGTTCAATTATCAGATCCTTGGTGCGTTCGTTTTCCTAGGAGAAGCCGTCGATCATGAAAAGCATGGCACCCTGTCCCAAAGCAACCGTTTTTTTGGATCCCTCCCCTGAGGACTTCTAGCAAATACACAAGAGAGATGCTTGATGCAGATCAAGGCACCATCTCTCCTTACCATCCGGGCCGCCATTTCCAGGAGCTCCTTACGAGCCAGCTGTACCCCTTGGGGGTCTCCTTCGATCCGGATCAAGTTGCTCTTCTCGCTGTCAGGAGGAATGCGGACTGAGACTTTGTGTTGTTCCTTGATGCGGTTGACTGGGGGGGGGGAGAGGAGAAGTACAGAAAAGAGAGAGCATCAGAGGGAAGGGCTGCCATCTTCCCCCTCTCTCCAGCAAAGTGGGATGGTCAACATCCAAAGAATGGAGGAACCTCAAGTTTCAAATTCTAGCTAGCCGCTAAACTCCCTCGGGGACCATCAATTAGGAATTCTCTAACTTTGCGGCGATTCCCCCCCCCAAAAAAACTAAAAAGTGAATTTGTGTGGCTCCCGTGAACGAAACCAACAAATTCTTTATGATTAGAACTGAGCAAGAAATAAATACCGCTTTCACTTTGAGTACAGCTAAGTCCCTCGACTTAACAACCGTTCATTCAGTGACCGTTCAAAGTTACGACAGCACTGGGGGAAAAAAGCGACTTATGATCACTTTTCAGTTATGACTTTTTTGCAGAATTCCCATGGTCACGTGATCAAAATTCGGAACACTTAGCAAACTGGTTCGTGTTTATGACGGCCGCAGCGTCCCGGGGTCGTGTGATCCACCTTTTGCAACCTTCCGACAAGCAAAGTCAGATTTCACTTAACGACCGAGTTACTAACTTATCAACTGTGGCGATTCACTTAGGAACTGTGGCCAGACATGTCATAAAATGGGGTGACGCTCAGTTAACAAATGTCTCGCTTAACAACAGAAACTTTGGGCTCAACTGTGATTGTAAGTCGAGGACTGCCTGTAGTTAAATTTTAAGGTAAAGCATCAGAGGGAGCTTCAAAACTATCAGAAAGGGAAAGCGCTATCTAACGAAATGAAATTCAGTGGTGAAAAAAGCAAGGTTCTACATTTAGGCAAGAAAAACCAAATGTACAGGTATAGTATAGGGGGTACCTTGCTCAATAGTAGTAACTGAGAGAGGGATCTCGGAGTACTAGTGGACAATCACTTAAATATGAGCCAGCAGTGTGCTGCAGCTGCCAAAAAGGCCAACACAGTGCTAGGCTGCATTAACAGAGGGATAGAATCAAGATCACGTGAAGTATTAATACCACTTTACAATGCCTTGGTAAGGCCACACTTGGAATACTGCATCCAGTTTTGGTCATCACGATGTAAAAAAGATGCTGAGACTCTAGAAAGAGTACAGAGAAGAGCAACAAAGATGATTAGGGGACTGGAGGCTAAAACATATAAGGAACGGTTGCTGGAATTGGGTATGTCTGGTTTATTGAAGAGAAGAACGAGGGGGGACATGATAGCAGTGTTCCAATATCTCAGGGGCTGCCCCAAAGAAGAGGGAGTCAAGCTATTCTCCAAGGCGCCTGAAGGCAGGACAAGAAGCAATGGGTGGAAACTAAGCAAGGAGAGAAGCAACCTAGAACTAAGGAGAAACTTCCTGACAGTGAGAACAATTAACCAGTGGAACAACCTGCCTCCAGAAACGGTGGATGCTCCAACACTAGAAGTTTTTAAGAAGAGACTGGACAACCATTTGTCCGAAATGGTATAGGGTTTCCTGCCTGAGCAGGGGGTTGGACTAGATGACCTCCAAGGTCCCTTCCAACTTTTTATTACTACTATTACTATTACTATTACTATTATTATTATTATTATTATTATTATTATTATTATTATTATTATTATTATTATTATTATTATTATTATTATTATTATTATATTAAAAGGCACTTTTGGGACCATCATGACCTGGATAACTGAGAATCTCCACAGACACTCTGGGAAATGTTAGCAGAAAAGATTTAGGGGTTACCTAGAGGTGTGCAAATGCTTCCACCTTACAGTGATCAGCAAGAGCATGAAATTCACCCCAGCCACCTTAAATCCTTCAGGGTTCTTTTTTTCCCTCTCTTAGACTTCTGATCAGCCTGACTCACTGTTAGCTCCGTTTTTCCCAATCAGATGGCGATGAAATCTCTGGTCAATAAGCACTTCGGTGTAGTCCATCCGTCTGAGCTGCAGGAGGAGAGGATGGGATAGTGAGACACAAGACTTGCAAGACAAAAAATGGAGCCTCAAGACAGCAGGCACCAGCAATTGCACTAAAGCAGACATGTCAAACACAAGGCCCGGGGGCCGGATGCGGCCCGCGAAGTGGTTTCATGTGGCCCATGAAGCCATCCTGGAAACAGTGAGGGAACGGCCCCTGCTGCCTTGGCCCTGGCCCAGGCCAGCTGGGAGCCAATGTACAATTTTGTGGTGGCCATCTTGGCACTTGCCCCGGTGGACCATGCCTTGGCACTTGTCCCGGTCCCACCCCCTTCTGCCAGAGACCCTCAGATCTGTCCCACTCCTGCCCAGGCCCCCATAGGCACCCTTGACGCGAATGATGTAGAACTAGCCACGCCCACCCAGTAGGCCACACCCACTCCATCCACACCCACCCAGTAGGCTGCACCCACTCTGGCCACACCTACCCGCCCCCCCCAGGGCAACCGCAATGCTGATGCGGCCCTCAGTGAAATTGAGTTTGACACCCCTGCACTAAAGACTTGCGGACTTCAACTCCCAGAATTCCCCAGCCAGCCGTGGGGGTTAAAAGTTTGCAAGTCTTAAAAGTTGCCAAGTTTGGAGACCCCTGCATTAATGTGAAACTGAATAGGTTTGGCACACTCTTTCACGTCCCTCACCTCCAAGGTCCCTTCCAGCCGTATGATTATATGACGCGCTTATCCTAGCAACAACAAA